TGAGATATCGATGATAAATGAAAAAACTTTTGAATTTGTTGACAGAGTTGCACGTGAGATACGTGGAGAAGATGAACTTTTCGGAGGAATTCAACTTGTGATATCTGGTGATTTTGCTCAATTGAGACCTGTTGAGGGCAAATACGCATTTCAAAGCAAACTTTGGGATTTAGCTATAGAGGAAAACATTTTTTTGAAAAAGATATACAGACAAAGTGATGAGTATTTTATCAGAGGTCTTGATAGGATGAGATTTGGAAAGATAGACAAGGATTTCCTTTCATTTATAAAAAAACTAGATAGGGAAGTAAAATACGAAGATGGAAGAGAGCCAACAAGGCTTTATTCTACGAACAAAGAAGTCACGATTTGTAATATGAACAAGTTAAATGATATACCTGGAGAAATGTTAAAATATACTTGTGTTGATTGGTCAGTTGCCAAAGATAACATTCATGACGAAAATAAAAAAAGATAAAGGATAGAGGTGGATTATCTCACGAGAAATTGATTAATTGGTTGGATAAAAGTACGTTAGTTGAACAAGTTTTGTATTTAAAAATTGGTGCAGAAGTTTTTTACATTTGGAATTCTGATGATCGAAGATTGGTTAATGGAACTCAAGGTAAGGTTGTAGCATTTAGAAATACAAAAAGTGATATGGTATACGAAAAAGATCTTCCAAAAGGTATTTCTCCGAATGATGTAGTACCATTAGTCAAATTTGACGGTATTGAAGAAATTATAGAAGTTGGAAAAGAAAGGTTTACAAAAAAAAATAATGAGGGTGTGTTGATGGTGACACGTACTCAATTACCGTTAAAATTGAAATACGCAATGTCTATACATAAATCACAAGGTTTGACAATTGAAAGGTTATATATAAATTGTGCAAAAGTTTTTCAGAGTAAACAATTATATGTAGCTTTATCAAGAGCCGTTGACATAAAAAATTTATGTGTGAAAAATTTTAGACCAGAAAAATTAAAAGCTAACGAGCTAGTTATAAAATTTATGAAAGATAATTTTGGAAATGAGATTTTGTTATAAATATATCATAATATTATTTTTTATTTAATTAAAATGAATAAAATTACAATTTATTTCTTTATAATATTTCTTTTTATTATAAATATAAACGGCAACAAATATAAATAATATACATAATAAAAATAATGAATTTACGATAAACGTGATGAGTGATTTACAAATGATATTAATGAAACAAGAGGGTACACATGTTCACAGTCTTTATAATTCTGATATGAATATAAATTATGGTGTTATCATGTTTGATAAATTTGATAAAGAAATGAATTTTTTTTTTCAAATTCAAGAAAGGGGTTGATAATTCGAGGTATTAAGGGTAAAGTCGTTAATTGGTTACATGTTCAATCATTTATTTTCATGTTAAAATCACTTAATCGTAATTTTGATGAAATCATCATCGTACACGAAGATAAAGCAATTATTAAAAATGAAGCTAGAATAAAGGATAAAAATATAAACAAAAAATTAATTTTTATTCCTAATTCGATTATATTTTTTTATTTGAATTCAGTTAAAAGAAAATTTCAATAAGAAACAAAATTAATATTAAAATTTATTGATTAAAATATTTACTAAACTCAATAATCTTTTCTAATTTACAATTAATAGAATCTTGATTCGTGTAATCGATTTTTAAATTATTCAATATTTGTTCTATTTGTGAGGATAAAGTGATGTTTGATATTTGATCATTCTTTGATGTTTTTTCTTGAATATTTAATTTATCCATTTCTTTATGTGATATAAAATTTTCTTTGTATAATTAAAGTAATTTCATTCAAGTTAAAAAGGTTGCTTAAATATTAATTCAGATATTTTTCGTAAAGTATAAATCAAAATACAAAGAAAAATAAAGAATTTATCACATAATTTCATCTTGAATAATATCATGTAACCAAAAATATAAAAATGAATCTTGATTTTTAATATAATCATTATAAATTTATTTAATTTGTTTGAATAATATTAATTTATCGATTAATAATATTTCAAATTATAAAAATAAAAAAAATATCTAATAAAATTTTGAATTCGTAATGTCTTTAAATTTAAAATTTCAAGTATTTTCGATTAACGTAAAATATTTTTTTATTAATTTAACTGATATAAAATATTATCTATCATTTATTTTTAAAAAATTATATTTTAAGTTAGAATTAAAAAAAAAAATGAGAAATTTTAGTTTCGATACAATGAATTGTATCTACTTATCATGTTCACCACAAAAAGGTTAATGTTTGAGTTTGCGTCATAAAAGAATTACTCATCTAATGTCTTAGGGAAGCTATAAGCTCTAAGAAATATCACAGACACTCTCATGATGAAGCCTTTCAACGTACAAAAACCAAATGTATTATCATCAAAGTTGTAAAAGAATGAAAAAAAAACTTTTTCGAAATATCCTACTATTTATTGAAAAAAACAATAGTATATTAATTTATAATTGATATTCAATTTTAAATCGTAAATTAAATTTGGAATTGATTATTAATATATAATTCACGCATTATTGATAGATTATGCATATTGATA